CAGGATCAAAGCAAAATGAATGCGAAGAATTTGAACAATATAAGACGTGAAACCAGTAAGCTTTGCATGAATAAAAAGAGGGAATATCTTAAAGAAAAAATTAAAATGAACAGTAAGAACAAGAACATTATAGACCTGTATAGATGAATAAATGACTTTAAGAGGTGTTGCCAACCTAGCAGTAACTTAGTGAAGGAACAGAATGATGATCTACTTTCAGATTCCCATAACACTTTATATTAAGGATTCTACTAAAGCCACCCTTGTAAGAGATCGTGGAGGCCCGTAGGGTTTTGAGACGTCGAGGTTCCCACGTCTTATAGTCTGTAAGCCGATTGTCTAGAATCTAGACAATCGGCTCACAGATGGCGGTGGTGTTGTCAGCCTTAGGCGTCGGCCGCCCTTTACCCCCAGGAATATTCCTGGTACTCATTTCTGTTACAGGCTGAGTCGACCCCAGGTTCATAGTGCGGCTGGAAGGATTAAGTTAACTGAAAAATCCAATGACCTCATCGGGAGAGAAACCCGCGGCCATCCGGTTTGCAGCTTAGTGCCTCAACCAAATACATTACCGCGTGCCTCAGGATTCTGTTAAGGTAGCCGTTAATATTTTCCGATGTTAAACCAGACTGGAACTGGATAGCAAACTTTATTTTATTCTGAACATTATATTTCACAAAATAAAAAATTTCATTAAAATGTGTTCAGCGATTCTATAGCTGTTTTATAGGTATAGAGATTTATATGTGATTGAATCCCGCGTAGAAATTGCTCTCCATTCTAAGCACTGTTTTAAAAATGGTTGTAGCTATAAGATGTGTTAGCAGTTGTCTCGAATTAAAACGTTTACATGTAACTCAGAAAATATTAATAAATTCGAACTCCAAGACATTTTGTCAGTCAGTTGATCTTGGTGCCTATCTCCTTATGGTGCTCATGAATAAATACTTCTCTCAGTTATTGAATGTACATAGAGTCAGTGATGTTAGGCAGATAAAAATATATACAGCTGAGCTGTTAATACCTGATCCTAGCCCATTTGAGGTTCAAAGGGCTATTGCAAAATGTATAAATCACCAGGTAGTGATCAAATTCCGGCAGAACTTGTTCAAGCAGTAGGCGATATATTACGTTCTAAGATCAATAAGCTAATTAATTCTATTTGGAATAAGTAAAAAGTGCTTGATCAGCGGAAGGAGTCTATTATTGTACCAATTGACAAGAAGGGTGATAAAAATGACTGTAGTAATTATCGGGGGATATCGCTGCTATCAACTTCATACACAATTTTATCCAATATTCTTCTTTCAAGGTTAAGTCCATTCATAGATAAAATTATTGGGGATCATCAGCGTGGGCTTCGAAGTAACAGATCAGCTACAAATCAGATTTTTTGCATTCGTCAGATATTGGAGAAAAAAATGGGAGTACAATGAGGCAGTACATCAGCTATTCATAGACTTGCAAATTAGCCTGTGATTCAGTTAGGAGGGAAGTATTGTACAATATTCTGATAGAGTTTCGAATACCCATGAAACTAGTCAGGCTGATTAAAATGTGTTTAAACGATACGCATGGCAAATAACTGTCTGAAGAATTTCCTATCCAGAATGGTCTAAAACAAGGAGATGCTTTATCGCCACTCCTTTTCAACTTTTCTTTAGAACATGCCATTAGGAAGGTCCAGGGAAACCAGGTGGGGCTGAAATTAAACGGGACACGTCAGCTGTTGGCCTATGCCGATGATGTGAATCTACTGGGTGAAAATGTAGATACAAAAAAGAAAAACATACAAACTTTAATTTACACAAGAAAGGAGGTTGGTCTAGAAGTAAACACAGAGAAAACTAAGTATATGTTGCTGTCTCGTCACCAAAATGCAGGGCAAAAGCATAACATAAACATAGGAAACAGATTTTTTTAAAATGTGGCACAGTTCAGATATTTGGGAACGACGATAACAAACCAAAATCTGATTCAGGATGAAATTAAGAGGAGACTGAACTCGGGTAATGCTTGCTACCATTCAGACCAGAAACTTTTGTCTTCTCATCTACTGTTCATAAACATAAAAATTAGAATATACAAATTTGTAATTTTGCCTGTGGTTCTGTATGGGTGTGAAACTTGGTCTCTGAAATTAATGGAGGAACATAGACTGAGAGTAGTTGAGAATAGGGTACTGAAGAGAATATTTGGACCGAATAGGGATGAAGTGGCAGGAGGTTGGAGAAAACTGCATAATGAAGAGTTTCATAACTTGTACTCTTCTCCAAGTATAATTCGAATGGTCAAGTCAAGGAGGATGAGGTTGGCAGGGCATGTAGCACAAATGGGGGAGAAGAGAAATGGATATAGGATATTGGTGGGAAAGCCAGAAGGAAAGAGACCGCTGGGAAGACCGAGGCGTAGGTGGATGGACAATATTAAAATGGATCTTAGAGAGAGAGAGAGAGAGAGGATGCGATGTCATGGTTTGGACCGATCTGGCTCACGATAGGGACCAGTGGAGGGCTCTTGTAATGAACCTTTGGGTTCGATAAAACTCTGGGAAATTCTTGAGTAGCTGCAGAACTGGCGGCTTCTCAAGAAGATCTTAGCTCCAAGAGTACGAGTAACTTTACTACTATTGTTCGTTGAAATGCGCAGACCATGACATGACGTCACATTTCCTACTGATAATACTGTTCCTAGTTCGAATGATAACATAAAATATTCGTATATTCAATATGTTTGGCAGGGGGCAGCGTGACTCTTCTATTCTCTGCGAAGTACAAAAGTTTGGGGACCACTGATCGATACTGCATATTGAACGGACGGGATAAGGTCTCCTAGCAACAGATGGATAGTTAACAGACAACGTAAAGCAACGGTGAGCATGAAACAGGTGACAAGCTGTTTGGAGAATGTAGTCATCGGAGTGTCTAGCTGGAAGCTGCATTGCCATGCCACATCCGGATGTCGGCCCAGAAACTGGCTGTCTTCACTGACGGGTCTAGCGGATTTCCTCAGTCAGCGTATGGGATACAGACAGTGACTCCCTCAGTGTTAGCTGGAAAATCTTGCGTTCGACGATAACAGTTTTGTGCAACCTCGTTTTCGTCATTCTAATGCAGTGTAACGTAGGAAAAGTGTAAGCTGACATCTGGCACTTCCTTTGAAAGTGGTGGAGCTGCTGATTAGTGTCCCACGCCGACTGGTTATGTGACATTTTGTAATAATACAGAAATTGATGGCTAAACATAAACAGTGTTGTAACATCTGTTGACGCTCTTCCAGCTTCGTGTTTCCTTTTATTACGTGGTCCTAAATTGTGTTCTATTGTTTTTTAACTTTCATATGACGCGAACGCCTTTTGAAACAGCTGTATCTAGGATGTTTAGCCAACGTAGTGATTAGGCTGCGGATTGGATAGTTGAGGAATCGTGGTTCGATTCACGGCAGGGGAAAATACTGTTTTCTTCTCCACATCGTGCTGACCGACTTCAGGGTTCCACTGTCCTCTTCAGCGATAGCAGGTGTTCTCTCCCTGGTAGTAAGGCAGTTGAAATGTGCGGCTGACCTTTCGCCGCCATCTTGTGCCGAAATTACGAATGTCTGGAGCTGTATCTCCACTCCACCATCAGTCTTCATGGCGTAGTGCTTAATTAGGCACAGGAACAACTTTATCTAGTTTAAAAATAGTATAAATTATCGTAATTCTTAAGTAAATGTAATAGTTCTTATGCAAACAGTAAATATAAGTCAATTTTTGAGAAGTGTATGTACTCTTAGCTTAATCTTGGTAAGATTGGATGCAGATGTATCTTACGTGATATGGTTTACGTCGAATAATTAATTCAGGGTTCTCGAACTTTGAACTACTGCGAAGCTCTATAATAGTAAATGCATTTAGGACAGCCCCTTCCCGCAACCATCTCTGCCGGTCAGCGAAATTTGCAGTTCTGGAGCAGGAACAAAAATATCTTCGTAACACCTTTACATTTGCAGTAAACTATAAATCGACGCTTTGTTGGAACATTTCTAGACTAAGTCCTCTTTCTGGCAAGTAATGTTTTCTGTATTACGATGCTGTCTAGTCCGATAGAAACTTATCGACGCTTCGGAGACACACACAACCTCAAAATTCAGGGCCGAAGAGTTTACTTCATGCTTATTGCTGTTGCTTGATTCGCATATTCTTCGGCCCCTAAGATGAAAGCAGTATATTCCTGCGAACCGTCTGTTAATTTCTACGGGACTGCATGGAAGTTATATCTCAGAAAAAAGTATTGTCAGAATATCAAGTTCAACTTAGTTTAATCTTTTTTTTTAGTTCACTTCAGGGCAACAGTCTGAAAATATTATTTTTTTTGCTGAAACTAAAGAAAAAGTAAAATGAATATATACAAGTTGTTAAATAAATTTACAAATCTTAATTTGAGTTTGTCTGAAATCTTCTAACACATTGGTGCAAATTGTCCCACTCGGCAGCTGTGGATGTGTTATTTTGCAAACCATATTTTAAGAACTATTTAAGTTAAAGAGTTAGTGTTCTTTGGTTTCTGTTTTGTAGTGTAAACTGAACTTCGTGTATTGATATGCACCGTCAGTACAATAAGTGATCATCGAAAGTTTCTCAGAGTGCCTGTTGTTGGAATAAGCTCTTTTATTCAGAATCCAAAATGACAAAATCCAAAAACATTTTGAAAGATAAATGTTTCGGGGAATATATATTCTAAAATAAAGTGTCAAGTCGTCTGGATGCGCAAATTTAGTGAAGGCACTGTGAATGCTGCAGAGACAAAGGCGCACTGGTATCAGGATGATCTCATAAGCTTCCTTGATACAACACGAATGGCATAGAACACGAAAGAATTACGGGGAGGGGCACAGACAGACAAGCTGATATCATAATCCCCCTAACAAAATTGGGGGGGGGGGGCTTCGAAACACAGACAGCAATGTGATTTCATAAGCCTCCCTTTATTTTTTAAAATAAGAAAAGTAGGCTAAAACCACGCTCCCATTAATTAATGTCAAGGTCATACGCAAAATCTGATACTCTTAAAGCAGTCCCTGCGCTTATTTGAACAGCACTACGCGGAGACGTGTGGAGGATTGAAAGCAGTACCTGACATTCCTCAAGTCAGAATTCCACAGACTGGTCAGGGTGTTGCTTTGGCCCTTTGCCCCTTGCTGATGAAAACCACTGTACCCACTGTATACGCGGTCCAGACGCAAAGATATGAACCTCTTCTTCTGCCGAGTATTGAACTCCACCCGCGGATCTATCGCTACAGCGAGTGAACTACTTCAACTCTTTCAGAAATTTAATGTCTGCTTCATTCTGATTAAGATCATTTTATAACATCTAATTACATGGTGAGGTCCAAGCGCTCCTCTGGGTAACTATTCGCTTATCTATTTCACGTTCACTAGACGCGTCTGCACAACAATAACACGAGCACGGAAGCACTGGGCACGCCTGTCAGTCCGGTCGAGTCATCGGCAGGCACCAGGATTTTATGATGCAACTCAGAACGAACTTTGCCTTCCCACACGTCCCTCCTCAACCCGTACTCCAGACCGCTGCAGCAAACGCAAGCACAAGGAGCAGCGATATGTCGTAAAAGTTTCAACTCGGTCTCCCCTCTTCGAGCCTCCTTGTCTCTGTTGCCAGCAGTTCTCATCGGTGAACCGCGCGCCGCAAAACGGGCGGCGCAGTCATGTATTACGAAGTGAGGAGTGCTGATTGTGGAAGCGTTCGCGTTCGGTAGTGTATGTAATACTTCACAGCGGTTACCTTAGTATGGCCTAGCTCACGTGCATAGGTACCAGCATTGTTTGGATTCATAAGTGGGGCTCATTGCTGCAGGATCAGTGACACGTGTCTAGATGGAGAAAGAAGGCACTCTACTGCCTCCAAGGACTTCAGGGGCCACCGGCAACAGTCTAAGAGCCAAGGCCAGCAGTTCTGGAACCACAGAGACCAGTACACACACACCAAACTCTTACCCAACTTGTTCCAGGTGTCGCAATCATTGGTTAAAAATTCGTGTGAAAGGACACAAGCGTTTCTGTAAGTACCGAGACTGTACGTGTGAGAAATGCTCTCTTGTAGCAGAGGGCCAGAAAATATCTGCGCTCCGGATGGCGGTGTGGCGTGCGCAGGTACAGGATGAGGGCCACGTTGCCAAACAAGTCAATCAGTATCCGAAGGAGAGCATATCTGTCACTCGCAGAGCCTCATCTGCCTTGGATTCCGGCTTAAAAGCGAGGACTGGGAACTTACAGAGCACCACCCCAGTCACCCCTGAGACGGATTCCCATTCAATGGAGGGCAGTAATTACTCCTTGTCTGCCGGTGGCAGAACTACGTTCACCACGCCATCCGCCCCTATGACGTGTTCCCGCTCATTTGGCGAGAGTAGCGACTCACTGCGTTCTTCAGAAAGTTTCACCGTAACACAGGCTACTGCCTTACTCGCCCCAGCCGCCCCCGCAACGAATTCCCTGGCAACAGAGGGAACTGGCTACACACCGTCTACTGGAGGCAGAACACTCTCAGTGGAGGGGTGTTGCAAAGCACTGTATTCTTCACGTTCTCCACTCACTGACACCTGCGGCAGAACACTGCCCATCGCCCCATTCCCATCCGCCGCCCCATGGGTGTATTCCACCCAAACGGAGCATAGCTCCTATTCTCTGTCCACTGGTGACAGAATGCTACCCACTGCCCCGTTCGCCCCTGCCGTCCCTTGGATGGATTCCAGCCTGATTGATTGGAGCTGCTTCGCTGAGTCCACAGCCGGTAGATCACTGCCCACCGCGCCAAGTGCCGACACTAACCCTTCGCAGTTGCCACAATGGTGCGGTCAGGAGTTCCAAAACCGTGGGTCGATGACTAATGTTTCCTATGAGATGTTATTAAATCAATACTATCTGAACTTGCGCTGTTTAATCAAACCTCATTGAATACATCACACTGCAATCGGTTAATTTTTCGTTGTTGTTACGTTACCAGAAAATCGTTTTAAATGTCCAAAATATGTTACTCTTTGCATCTCAGATTTCTTTTATATTGTTCCGTGAATCTGACGATTCATTAACAGGAAAAAATGATCACTAAGCCGATGCTGTGAATTGGAAGATTAATAGATTACTTTTGCTTTCTCATTCAGCTTCAAAAGATATTCCGACAAGTGACTACCACGGGCCAAAATGTCTTGAAATTTCAAAGTATTTTGCACTGAATTTAAAATCTGAATTAGAAACGTTACAGCGTATTTCATATGCATTAATCCAAGTGCCGTGGGTTTGTGACATCTTAAGTTTCATACGAAGTACATCGCGAAAGAAACTACAAATGCTACGTCATGTGGTTTTGTGTCCAATTCAGCAAGTGCAATATAAAATGACTATACGGCACACGAAGTGCTGGACAGTGTGAAGTTATGTTTATGTATGAGATCTTAGGTTCTCACGGGTATTAAAATGACGTTATTCTAAGATGTGACTGCTAGTTTGGTAGTCTGTGAGGTTGTGTTCAAATGCCCTATGTCCAGAATCATACCAGTAATAAAATAACATTTGAAGTTTCACCAAAATTTTGTTCCACTGTTATGACAATGAAGATGACTATTTCCATGTATAGTTGTTACGTGATATTACTAAGTTAATAGTTTCTAGTGGTCATGCTTGGTTTAGCTCTGAATGTCGTATCTCCTTTGAGATAGCTTGACATTTGCCCTGTTCTCAAATAACATACATACTGAAGAAATATTTCTGACTTTGGCTCTTCCGATATTAGTGAACACGCTCAAAACAATGCTTGTGACCTGTGTGTTATTTGCAAAACTGTGAAGAGAAATACAAAATAAACAAAATTGAATGCCACTTCCCATTTCCAGTAAATTCACATGAGAATTCAAAACATCTCCACCCCATCAGAAATTAATAATTTGTGGTGCTTATTTTCGAGTTTTCCATATGCCAGTGACAGATACGATACTAAATCAACTACAAAATTATATACAATATCTGTCTATTATTTTGTTATTTCCTCAGTAATATCAATGACGAATGGGCTTCCGTGTTTGTGTCTATTTGCATTCTATGGTTGATCTGCGTATAGAAAGAACCACTGCTGAGGTCGAGGTAGTGTAGCCGCGACATGACAACGAAGTGAACATTTTAATAAAATCGATTGAAATAAAAAAGTCAGTGTTTTAATCAATGTTATTGTCTCATTCAACCAGCAAATATTTAGGTCGCATGGACCATCATCAAGTGGTATGTAAATAAATTAATAAAATTTGTATCATTTAATTGTAGATTCATATGAATCCTTTAATACAGATATGAATGCCATAACAGATTCTTGTATTATGTGATAAAACATAAATTACAGTCTCTTATTTCAATCGATTTTATTATAATTTAATTAACTTCGTTGTTCTGTCGACGGCTTCCGAACTCGGATTTTACATAATATAATGCAAATATTTCTGAGGATTGTACACGTATACTGTCTTTCATATCATCCAGTTTCTGTGCTGGTAGAGAGGGTGGGCTGCCTCCAATTGGTCGTAGTTTGACAGTTAAAAATTGCCCTGTATAAAATATTAAAATATATAACAGTATTATATAAGAATAAATAGTAACTGCCTGTTACCGGATGTTCTCGTAAGTTTCCCAACAAAAATTAGGGGGGGTGCACAGACAGATGAACAGACACGAATGGGTACTGAGAGTTATTTTTATTGTTTGTATCATGTTGTGCAAATACAACTGATAATATTAATTTTGTTTTTCCAGCCAAATCATGACATAAAGAGGGGAAACAGATGTTTTGAAAATGTGGCACAGTTCAGATATTTGGGAACGACAATAATAAATCAAAACCTGATTGAGGAGGAAATTACGAGGAGACTGAACTCTGGTAATGCTTGCTACCATTCAGTCCAGAAACTTTTGTCTTCTTGGCTGCTGTCCAAAAACATAAAAATTGGAATATACAAAAGTATAATTTTGCCTGTCGTTCTGTATAGGTGTAAAACTTGGTCTCTGAAATTAATGGAGGAACATTGACTGAGAGTAGTTGAGAATAGGGTATGGAGGAGAATAGTTGGACCGAATAGGGATGAAGTGGCAGGAGGTTGGAGAAAACTGCACAATGAGGAGCTTCATAATTTGTACTCTTCTCCAAGTATAATTAGAATGGTCAAGTCAAGGAGGATGAGGTGGGCAGGGCATATAGCACAAATGGGGGAGAAGAGACATGGATATAGGATATTGGTGGGAAAGCCAGAAGGAAAGAGACCACTGGGAAGACCAGGGCGTAGGTGGATGGACAATATTAAAATGGCACTTAGAGAGAGAGAGAGGATGTGATGTCATGGTTTGGACCGATCTGGCTCAGGATAGGGACCAGGGGAGGGCTCTTATGAACATGGTAATGAATCTTTGGGTTCCATAAAACGCTGGGAAATTCTTGAGTAGCAGAATTGTCGGCTCCTCAAGAAGGGCTCAGCTCCATGAGAAAGTAAGTAAGTAATATTAATTTTACAAATTCAGTCGTCAGTGCAACAATTATTTATTAATTTTAATCACACTATATGTTTGGACCCTTAATTGATCATCTTCAAGATCGTACGTTACAATTCAATAATTAATTGTGTAACTAGAAACACGTTGCTATTCAGTAATTAATTGTGTAACTAGAAACACCTGAAGAAGACTATTTAAGGGTTGAAACATGTAGTGTGGTTTAAGTTAATAAGCAGTTGTTGCGTTGATGGGTAGATCTGTAAAATTAATATTATTAGTTGAATACACAATGTGATCTCATAAGCCTCGTTTAATTTTTCCAGACATAAGGAATGCAGGCCACTAAACGCCTTAGCAATGCACTGAAATGTTTTTCAAGCCCAGTGACCAGGGAGGGCTGCCTTTTACCATGCTCATTAATATTTCCAGGGCCGCAGCAATTCCAACTCTGCGTTAGTTATATCCTTTCTCTGTAACTGCTTGAATTGTGGCTACCAAGTAATAATGTCGAACGTAAAGAAATTTTCAGTGAATTGTGGCATTTCTTGTACAGCTATCAGAGAGGTTACTTCCACATTAATATTCTGATTCTACCCTGAACAGCAGTATATTTGCATTTAAGGACTTAAATATATAAAGAAGGAATTTCGTTGCAGACAAAATCCTGATACTCCCAGCACATCATAAAACGGTATCATTTATAAGGTATAAGGATCCACCTTTTGTTTTCTCATAAATATGACAGTTATATGTCCACAGTTATCATTTATAGAATACAAATCTACAGAGGAAATAATTACAGCATTTTCATTTTTAAGGATTATTATTTGTAAAAATTCTCTTCATAAACAGATTCTACTATTTTCAAATGTTCGTGTCAGAATATTTGTATTTGGAGGCCTCTATCTTCATTATACTATAACATGTTTGCTTAAAGCCAGAACTGTGGAGCCAGAGAAACTACAGTTGCTAGGTAAAGGCTATGTAATATACAATATTGGAGTACCTGTTAGAAGTGGTGTTCCCTCTGTGGTTCATGCCGAGGCTATATAACGAGGACTTGCTGCATTTAGGAGACACTCCTGAGATGGCAGTTAGAAGAGTAACAGTTGGGTGCGAGAAGGCTGACAGTCTGCTAGGACAAAAACCTCATTGGAAACAACGGCCCAGGATGACGACTTCGGGGAAGAACTCTCCCGGGAACAACGACACCCGCTACTGCTCGACGGTCCACATCACTTCACAGAACTGCTTGTTCGGCAGACACACATTCGACTCCATCATTTGGGAGTTCGCATCATCCTGGCGGAACTACGTGATGAGTTTTGGATACTTCGCGCCTGCCAGACAATTAAAAGGGTACTGAATACATGTTTTCCCTGAAAAATCGCAAAACATCCCTTTGGGCAAGAAATCGAAGCACCATTACCAGCGGAAAGTATAACACCCCTTAAGCCATTCGCTGTTACCGGTATTGATTTTGCGGGACCACACTATGTCAAGGTAGTGGATGGCTCAAGTAAATGTTATATTACTCTTTTCACTTGTGCGACAACACGAGCCGTACACCTGAAAATTTGCATGGACATGACAACCGATAAATTCCTATTTGTTCTTCAGAGATTTTCAAGCAGACGTGGCCTGCCTCATACAGTCTACACAGATAACACTCAAGACATTTCACTCGGCAAATAGAGACTTGATTGAACTCTGGACATCCCTTTCTGCGACTAAAACAGACCAACACCATGCGCAGAACGGAATACGTTGGAACTTTATTGCACCACGTGCGGCTTGGTGGGGAGGCTGGTAGGAACGAATGATAGGTCCGACTAAGCGCTGTTTGCGGAAGGTGTTAGGGCGTTCCCAAGTGGACGCGGAAGGACTCTGTACTGTCTTGACAAGCAACGAAGTCGCACAGAACTTGTGACCCATAATTCAAGATGACAAAGAGACTCTGACACCCTCACATTTACTCAACGGTTGGAAACTGACAACTCTCCCAGATGGTCCAGAACCAACAGGGAAAAAATGCTGACCAACGCTATCCGACAAAGTCAGAAGCTACTCGGGATCTTTGGCGACGATGGCAGAAGGAGTAATTGAGGAACTATCATGAGGTAAGGAAGCCACCCCGACAAGGACCTAAATTCAAAGTAGGAGATATCGTTCTCTTGCAAGAAGAAAAATAGCCGAGGCATATGTGGAAGAAGGATAGTATTGAAGAACTGTGTCCAGGAAGAGACAACCAGATCAGGACGGTATCCTTCGTCAATCGGACACTACGAGAATCAGTCGCCCATTGCAGCTGGTCTTTCCTTTGGAGATTGACCAGGGTTGGGAGGATGTTGAGGATCGTGGACTCCTCGTAACGCGGTAACATGCGTCTCCAGCGGTGACGTTAACAGCAGAGCAGCTGTGTTAGGCAACCATTGCCGCCTTGACGTAACAGCATAGGAGCCGCTGCCGCTGCTATGGTAACAGACCAGTAAACACTCCGCCCCCCGCAGTTACGTACCAGAGGACACTGCTGTTATCAAGGGACAACAGTATAAGAAGCCGGCTGAGCGGCGTGTGACCCAGTTTGGATTGTGAAGCCAGACAGAAGACAGCACGGAGAGTTCGACTGGTCTACAGTATATTGAGAGTTGATAATACGAAGGAGCAACTGTGAAACGACTAGTTCAACATTTTATGTTATACGTAGGTCGTACCGAAAGTTATGAGCAACTTTTTTTGCATGCAACCTGGGAACAGCAGACGAAAGAGAGTACGATGGTAGGTGCAACCAGCTGTTGTGTTAACCTTGAGTGTCTTGTGACGTCAATAGCTTGTATCACGTGACCACTATCACTCCTAACAAAATGGTCGACAACGATATGTCGTTTCGCCTGCATGCTGTCATCGAATTTCTTGTGAAAGAGGAAATCCCTGCTGCAGAAATTCACCAGAGACTTCAGCGTGCTTATGAAAGTGTGTGCATGGGTGCGAGCAGTGTTCGAAGATGGGTGAAACATTTTAAAGATGGGAACACCAGCATCGAAGATGTGCATCGGACCGGTCGTCCTCGAACAGCCTCAATTGAACGCAACAAGGAAAGAGTGGATGAGATCATTCAAGATGACAGGCATGTGACTGTGGACACAATAACCCGAAAACTTGGAATAGGGCACAGTGCAGTACAGGAGATGATTGAAAGCTTGGACTATAGGAAAGTTTGTGCTCGTTGGGTCCCGCGGTTATTGACCGAAGACCACAAAGGTCAGCGAAAAGCCATCACTTCAGAACTGCTGCAGATATATCGACAAGAAAGCA